CCTTAGGTTAGTTGCTTATTTTTTTTTTTTAAGATCTATTTATTTATGCATACAAGAGCTGGGGTACAGGCCAGAGGTGTGGGGGGTGAGAGGTTTCACCAGAAACAGAGTGGGGAGCAGAACAGGCAGACTGACTGAAATACACTGCTGAGGGGAGCAGCGGGCGAGTCAGGAGAGGTCTACTGCGCCATGTGGGTTGCTCCCTGGCTGGGGATGGAACTCGTCCTGCAGTGGCTGCGGATAGCTTCATAGGTTGCATCTTAACCCCTTGTGCCACCAGGAAGGCCCATTTGCTCATTTTGGATAACTATGTAGAATCTGAAAAGGACAGGAGATTCCACAATGGACTTGATCTCCATATCTTTACCCTTGAACCTTTGCTCTGGACACTGCCTACAGCAGCTTGATACCTGCTTGGATCTTATGCTTTGTAATTTGGGCTTTGGCACCTAAGGATCTTGGTTTCCATAGCTGTGTCAACAGCTATGCTAATCTCTTCTACCCCCAATTCCTGTGTGAGCCAGGTTGCTGGTCTTGTGGGGCCGCCTTTGCAGTTTTGCTATTCCTGTCCTCCATCAGGTGAATACCATGTGAACAGTCTTGTTCTGGAAAGAACAGACTTATTTTGCTGTAATCTTGCTGAGTGATCATGGGCAAGTCACTGAACCCCACATTTTCCTCCACTGTTCAACAGAGAGGTAGAGTGGCATGATCTCCAATATCCGCATAATGTTAAGATCCTATTATTTTACTAACAGCAACCTTATGCTTTCACATTGTGGTGGACATGGTGATGGGCCTCCCAGATGGTCCTTCTGTAACAGGGAGCTTCCCAGGAAAAGGGGAAGTGCCAGATTCCCTGCCCCACCCAAGGGAGGTTATAGCTGATCAGGGAAGAGAAGAAGCTGAAGAGGAGACTGGAGAAGGAAGGAAGCAGGATGGAGAGCCAGAAGGAGACCTAGAGGAGGCACATGGAGTGAAGAGACATGTGAAGAAGCTGTGCTTGATGTTTGGTCCTAGACGGACTGAAACAGATGTGGGTGAGAGACCAATGGCAGCATTGATCTTGATTTTGATTTTGCACTTTTCCTCCAGACTTGTCTGGCTGTTTCTGACCCTTTTCTATGGGTCCCCACCAGAAGGTGCTTTAGACTTGTGGCAGACTTTTGGGCCTCAGTGGCCCTGCTTTGGTTCAACCCAGTTTGGCTGGGCATTCACCCATGAGGGCATGGGTAACTTTAGGTGCTTGATTTGGAAACTATATACTTTGTCTTTTCTGTACTGCACACTAATTGTATTAAAGTTACTTTCCATTAAAGGTCTTGTATGTTTTGTCTTGGTGTGGCAGACGGCAGAACGTATTTAGAATGGGCAGGTTTGGGGGTTCTGGGGTGTCCCTCTCTTGCCCTGTAACACTTAAGTGAAGACCTTATTGTCCAGAGTTGGAAAGTGTCACCAGGAAAAATTGCCTCAAATTGCATAAAGCTATATACCAGAGTCAATGATGCTCCTCAGTTCCTCCTGAATAAGCAGCCTTCCTGCTAAGCCCCTTCATGGAGTCAGCTTCCGAGAAAGCCCAGCCTGTCAAGGTCACTCCATAGAGTTGTACAGTTTGAGCCTCTGACTGCACGTCCCCCCAGCCTTCCTCCCTCATTGTAGAGGAAATGATGTCTCAGATAATGACTTGCCAAGTTCATTCTATAAGCAGGGCTGGGACTAAGTCTTCAGTTTCCCACATCTCAACCAAATCCTCCTATCATTACTCACTGATTTCCTCAACTTAAACCACTTTTCTTTGCATATGGAGAGAGAGAGATGTGTAGACAGAGAGATAAATAGAGTCATCCATCCATCTCCTCTGCGAGGAAGAATAATAAGCAAATGCATGCATTCATGAGTTCATTGCCTCTACTTTATATAAATAAACCATTGGCTTTTGTTTGAGGGAATTTTTTTATGTCCTTGAGAAGCCATATCACATAAAGACAATAAGCTGTGGCTCAGGAACCAGGAAAGGCTTCTTATTCTCAGATTCTCATTCTTGTGCTGCAAATATGCTGCATTTGAGAGTAGGATTTTTTCAGAATCCAAGACTGATGGCTGGGTGATAAGAGTGGGGAAGGGGTAATCATGTTATGAAATGATGGTTCCACAAAGATTGATGTCATTGGGGAAAGCAGTGTGAAGGAGAAATAGGAATTTCTGTATACACACACATATTTGTATATATTTATATACATATATTTATATATACACATTTATATTTTATATATGTATTTTTAGCAATATCTTGTGGTCAAAATTATTTCATAAACATTTGATAATAATAATAACTCTCAATGGTTTCAGTTATTCTCACAAAGAGTGGATGACTTGAGGGGTGGGAGAGGGATGGGCAAGATACAGAGCATACTCACAGCACCTCGTTGCCAAGCTAGTGTATTTTGAGTGCCACTCAGTGAGGTAGAGGTGATGAAACTTGTTGCACCAGGCATGTGTTTTTGAGAAACATGCTCTCTATGAAAAAGCTAAGGGACGGACATTCTTTAACCAAAGCACTGAACACTGTCTGCTACAACACCTGTTTTCTTGTTTGGGTTATATCACCCCAGGTGATTTAAGTCAGACCAGCTCCTTCATTTCATAGGTGAACAAAAACAGAAACCCTGAGAAGAAAACAGCTTTTGCAGGTCGGCCAAAGAGTGACTGATTTAACAAAAGCAAACAATTCCAAATTGGAAATACATACCTGGTCCGTGGTCTGGAGAGCACCCTCTTCTGTTTCAAGAGCCCAGGGTGCATGGGTGGGGAGGAGAGCAAAAGCCAGCTGCCGCTAGGCTCCCCGCCATGTGCACTGGCATCGGGACTGCCCCATGCAGGCTGCAGGCTCCAGCCAAGAGTTGCCTGCAGCATGGTCAGCAGGTTGTCCAAGGACGGTCATGGAAGTCACGTCCTAAGAAAGGAGCCAGAAAGCAAGAATTAAGCATTTCCAGTTTTATAACTAAATAGCATTCCAAGGTACTATCAACTATAAATCAAATGTGATGTTAAAAAGGAAAAGAAACGAATCACCTAAATGGAAATAACTGTCTCCGATCAAAATATCTTGCAATTAAATATCCATTTCTTCTCTAAATTCTAATTTTCTCTTAGGAGAAGTCAATGTTTTTGCAGTGACAGTCCAAAGTCATGAGGAGAACAGTGTGAGGTTTTATCCCTGGCACTGAACATTTTAAAGGTATATGTTTTTAATAACGCTTTAAACTGAAATATATCTTATTTATAATCAAGTGCATGAAAATTGGTTTTTACTTTTTATAAACCTGATAACCACTGCCCCGCTGACCAAGACCAAGAGGACATTTCCTGCTCCCTAGAAGCTTCCTGGAGTGCTTGGATATCTAAATAACATTAAAATATTACGAAAATGGAAACCTCCACCATCCGGGTGGCTAGCTCATCCCAAACCTGGCATTATCCTGAAGACAGGCCTCCTAAGACATTCAGGCACCCGAGCTCAGAACGCCCCACCCACTGCCTTCTCAAAACAGGACCATGCCTTGAGAACATCTTATTGACAAGGTAAAGGAAGGCTAAGGCCTAGGGTAAGGCAAAACTTTATTCTTTGCTCCCTCTAAGGAGCCATGTGGAATGGGGGATTGCCGCAGACCAGCTTTCAGCAAAATGTCAGGTCTGAAGTCCTTGAAAGGAAAAGACAGTCTAGGTGCAGCGAAAAGGACTGAGGGGAAGGGGATGAGGCAGTGAGGAGACACTGACACTGGATGAGGTGCAAGTATCTTCTGCCGAGAGACTCAGCAGGTTCTTTATACTTTTTTAGCAAGCCCTGAGATGACAATATCATGTGCATAGAAACAAAGCAGAAACAATCAGTGCATCCTTTTTTCCATAGACTTTTGGCCACTACGTGCTCTCAGTAAGAAGGCAACCTTCAAGGTTAATAAAAAACTAAGCCTTACACTAAAACTCATTGTTTCAGTTAAACAATAACCTAAGACAGTGGATAGCCGCCAGGACACCCCTATCAGCTAAAGCCTAAGCAAGAAAAGACTTTTCTTATTCGCATGGCCTTCAGCCAGGGGACACGCTGCTACTCAACTATCAGAACTTTTTCTACCTAAAACTCCTTAACTCAAATAGCTTCATTAAAAAACTTTCCCAAGAAGCTTCAAGAGAAGGCAAAAGAAGGACCTACTATAATTGTTGTGCTGGATTGCTTGTCAGGCATGAGCAATAAATTGTCTCCCATTGTCAAGTGGGCCAAATTGTTTAATAACTAATTTCTAAACAGATAATTTTCCGTGCTGTTCACTTACAATATGCTGATACGTGTAATTTATTGCCTAATATACTTTCTGATAAATTTTTCTCTTTTTTGTGACCAAGAACAACAAGCAAAGGGTTGTTAAATCTTCAGCCCCACGGTGTGAGGCCCTTTTTCTTAGCTGCTTGCTAGTACCTTATCTGACTGGGCCAAAAAGGCCCCCTGCAGCCGGGGACGGTGAGAACCTGAGGTTTAAGGAAAACCCGGCGTTTGGGGATGACCTGATAGTTTGTCTTATAAGTTATGGTTTTCAATAAAGAATATTGAACTTAAAAGAGTGTTCATCAGTTTGTTTAATCGCCACTGGGTGGTAGAAACATCCATCTTGAAGTTGAAAAACGATGCTTCTGGTGTGTTTAAGTCCCTAAACTGATGTTTGCAGGAAGTTTGCCTTTTCTTTCTTCTGGATTGTAGAATCAAGTGCCAGGTATCAACTTCCATTCCATTTTTTTTCCCCAGTGGGAAATTTTCTTCAATTCTCAAGTCAGGATTTACTAATATTTGAAGCTGCTGTCACCTGATGATTTTGGAACGGATTTCCCCAACCTTCTTCATTCCAGTACACATTTCAAAATTCTTCATACTTAGAATCTTCACCCTGTAGATTTCTTCTGTGAGGGGTGTGAAATAGAAAGTTGCGGGCCTCCCTGGTGGTGCAGCGGGTGGAGCACTGCACTGTGAAGCTGTCCGCAGCCTCTGCAGTGTGGGTTCGATTCCTGGCCGCCCAGGGAGAAACCCACATGGCACGGCAGACCTCTCCTGCCTCTCCCGCTGCTGCCCTCAGCAGTGTCTTCTGTCTGTCTGCCTGTTCTTCTCCCTGCTCTGTCTCTGGTGAATTCTTTCACCCTCTCATGCCTCTGACTACACTCCAGTTCTTATATAAATAAAAAAAAAATCTTTAAAAAGAAATAGAAAGTTGCCTATATTTTCCAAAATTCAAATCCTAGTTCATAAAACGGCTTCAATCACTTTCCCCACCTCTCAAAAACACTGTCCCAATTCCTTCCCAGTGCACGTTCTAGTTAGGAACTGAACCAAACTATATTAATAACAATTATAAATAAAAGACTTGAAACTGTGGATCAGAGGGAGGGATAGTGGAGGAAAGATAATTGTAAATAGATGCCATCATTCCTCATAGGGCCCAAATCAGCCTTTGGAACAAATAAGCCAATTTAATTCCTCTTGTTATCTCTCATAAGTAAGAATTTTGAGGAAATACCAAATGCCTAAGAGTTTAGGACATTTTTTTTCTTTTTCTCCAAGTGGGAGTTGGAGTTATGTGATTTCAGCAAGGTTGGAGGATGGTGTGTGAGGATAGCAAGAGGTTCCAGTGGAGCTCAGACTGAAGTCCAGCCCTTGCTATGCAACTAGTGGGCTCTGCTCATGCCTTGACACTTGTTTTGACAAGGTAAAACTTCTATTTACTTCTATAGAGATGGGTTTGCTTTCTGGCTTCAGGAAAAAAAGATTTTTATGTGTAGATGTCTAAAGCGAGAAATACCACCTTGGCCCAATATCTATTTATTGTCTCATTATTTGTACTCCCATTTTTACTACGTTTCTCTAATTATATAATGTAAATATCACACATTCATTGTGAACAACTCAAACCATTTATAAAATATGAAACTTTTGAAATATAAAAATATAATAAAAATTATCTTGTCATCTTACCATAATAATAAGCATTAATATTTTCGTGACATTTTTGCATGCATCTCTTTACATATCTATGTGTTTTTACATAAACAGCATTTAGCATAAATGATAATTTTCCTGGGATACCTTTCCACACCCATGTCAGCAGATTTATCCCCATCTCCATTTTCCCCAAGTAACACACGTATCTTAGCCAGAAAAAAACTTGAGGTTTTGCATGCAAATAGTTTATTTGGGTTCATTACCACGGGAACAGGAAACATAAAGCAGGGAGTGGAAGAAAAGTTGATACCAGGGTGCTTTACTGACCTGGGTACTGCCATGGGCAACTGGGGTTCAATCTCCCTGGGGCCCTCGAAGGAGCTAATTCTGTGGAATACAGAAAATTATCCACCGATGGAAGGAAAGATGGAGGGACCATAGATCGAGGGTCGCCACATGGGCTATTAATTCCCTCTCCTAGGTTGTACATGAGTGAGCAGGTGCCAGACCGGTTCAGCAGTCATCTCACAGAATGGCTTCAGAAAGGACCTGAGGCAGAAAGTGACACATAAGGTGCAACTGGACTAAGGTGGTGGAAGGTTATACCTGCATGAAACTGCTCACTATGAAACAATAAAATATAGCAGTAAAAAGGTGAACTGGAGGAGGGGGCGGAGCAACATGGCAGCGAGGAGACGCTGCGAGTAAGATCTCCCATTAAAAAAAGTTAATAGGGAGGAAAAGCGGCAGGTCCCAGTGAGAACTGGGACACGGAAGATAAACGGACGACTCCAGCAAACTGCCCAAAGAAGAAAGTTGCCATAAAAGAGGACCAGAAGGGAGGAAAGCGCAGAACCCTGCTCCCCTCCCCCGCCCACAGAGGCGGCACTCTCCGACGGCAGAGAGGAGGGAAACAACAAACCAAAACGGCCCACAAGAACAAAGGATGCAGCAAGCGGGACTGTGAGTGGAAAGGAACTATTGCAGCCACCACACCCCGTGAACGGGAGCTGTGGAGAACCCTGCAGGATCTGCCCCAGAGGTGAGCTCCAGGCGCCATTAAAGAGAGCCCCGCCCCCCAGGAGGAGGCCAGCACCAGCACACAGCCCTGGCCGCCCGGTAAGCTTGCGTGGAAAGCGGCGTGCTGGAAAAGCAGACGCGGATCGGGATTGCGCGGAAAAGCAGCGCTGATCGCGCTGAAAAGCAGTGCAGTTGAAAAGCAAACGCAGATCCGGATCGGATCGCAGCTGCCCAGGTCCCAGCGCCTGCGACCTAGGCTTGCGGGGAGACGCGCGGAGGCCCTCCCTGAGTGAGCATGAACCAGGCGCCCAGGCAGGGGAGCGGGATTCAAAAGGCGCCATTCCCGCGCCACTGATCTGGGCTACAGCCTGCGTCCTGGAACTGAGGGCTTTGGAACTGAGACCCGGGGCACGAAATTAGGGGCGTGGGTTCCCCACGACGGTGGGGCACAAGGCAGACACAGCACCCCAAAGCCGTTAAGGTGTACCCTACCATCCCCGCTCTGCTCCCTGTCCCACGGGGTGGAAAATCAGCTCCCCAAGGGCTCTAGGAGAGATCTCTAGCGCCACCTAGCGACTTGAAGCCAGCAGAGACTCCTGAAGGAGCCAGTGGCCAGCTGGGGAGTTAGCCCACACCGGGCCCCTTCCAACCAGTAGTCTGAGCCCGCAGGGAGAGCGAGCACCCACAGCCGGGGCAGACCAGGCGCGCAGAAGAGTGTGCCTGAGACCGGACGCGCAGGGAATGTGTCCCACATCACCATTTTAGAACAGGGACATTTCTTCAGTAAAGACTACCTGCAGAAGGCTTCCTCAGGAGCCAGAGGTGAGCGGGGGATGTTCGCGCACGCCAGACCCCCTCTGGCCTGCAGTCCAAGCCCAGAGGGGGGGCAGGAACCCACCGCCGGGGCAGACCAAGCGCACAGGGGAGTGTGTCCTCACAGCGGCATT